CCCCAAAACCCCAAAACCCCAAAACCCCAAAACCCCTTAGCTAATATATCAGGAGATAAAATAATTAATAATATAAATGAAGACACTCTTTGCTCTATTCTTTACCATTCTGGCTGTCACAGCTAGTGTGTGTACTAATGAAGCCCAAGAGATCGGCTCATCGCTTTCTGGAAGTTTTGAGTTGTCTGGGTATACTCAAAACTATTTTAGAGAAATATTAGAAGATCAAAACAGGAATTTACTCTATTTTATTGGCTTTTTCCGGAACACCACTACTCCATGGGATACTATCATTTATAAATCAGACCATAACTTGGCTAAACTCAAAGTGAAGACCTACGATATCTACTGTTTGGTCATCTCATATGCAATTGATCCAAGTGGAGACTTCATCTATGTTCATGACCAAACTCCCGATGTGATAGTAGAGATTAGGGCCACTGATCTGGAAGTATCAAGATATCTTTCTATTAGTGGTTCAGGAGTTAACAACAATTGAATAATGAGGATAACAGATAATTTCTACTTCAGCCTCAAAATAGGCTCAGTGATGGAAACTTGTAGGTGGGATAAATCATCTACTAATCTTGACTGATTTAATTTTGGAATTAACAGTGAGACTAACTTTGCACCTATCAGTGAAGATCTCCTCTTTTTTGGCTCTACAGATTCAGTAGATGATCAATATTATTTAGTGAATTATAATTTCTCAGATCCTCTCAACCTGGTTTGGAAATAAAAGCATTGCTTGTCCAACTTCAGGGTGAGCCAATAAAGCCAGTAATTCAATTCTAAGTCATGACAAAGGATGGATCTACACGATGATTCTCTACGATGATAATTTCATTTTTCTTAAGCTAAATGTAGTTGATGGGAACCTTCAAAATTCTGGCCTTATTTTGAATGACAGTGGATTCGGAAGTAGCTATTCAATGAAGGAGTTTAACAAGTTTTTTGCTGTTCAGATTTTCAGTTCATCATTCTCAAATAATAAAAGACTAATCTTAATAAACTCTACAGACACTGGAATAACTAAGGAATATAAATCAGTAGACTCGAATTCTTATGCTGTTGGAAGGTTATTATACAAAGGTGAAGAATTGATGTACCATTCTGGAAGAGTTCATACAAATTATGAGCTTTTTGCTGCAAGATCACCAACTTACAATATTGATCAACTCAGAGAGTTTGAAGAAGATGCTCCTCTTTTTACCCCCATCACATCGAGCTATCAAGCATCTTCAACTACTTCTAACCCTAGTATTACTTCTAGTACGAAGTTACTTGATATTGAAACCTCACCATCAATTACATCTAATGACTTAACTGCTTTAACCAATCCTTCCTTCTCTATTTACGTGGCTCTGTGGAACCAAGATTTTATTCAGGCTGTCCAGAGCAATACATCTGTGCAATTGGAATTCATCTGGGCTTGAGCTCAGTCAGTGAATTATACAGATATTAGCTTCGGCCTGGCTCAGACTGGATCAAATGAGATTCCTGATTGGGTAATGTTAGACACAAGTAATCAAGAATTGTATCTGAACAAAACTCCCAAGCTCGAACAAGCAACCACTTTCCACTTCTCACTCCAGATCTCATTCGGCAGTGAGCAGCATTATAAACAGTTCAAGATCACAGTTGAAGAGTGAACTATTACTAATTGAGATGTCTGACAGCTGGGGAGTCCCAGTCTTTGTGAAACTTGAATGGCTGGCTATCAAGCATCCAACGGTCAGAAGTCTTGTTCCAAAATAACTGCTATGGCTGGAGCAACTGAGGCTGCGGCTGCTATGATGACATCAAGTGTTGTGCTAGCAAGTGCTTCTTCTATCTTGTCACTATCGTCTATAAATTCAATATTTAGCATCATGAACAGTATGCAGCTGGGAATATTATTACCTCTGGTGCCAGACTACTTTTCACCCAAAGTGTTGGCTTTTCTTAGTGGGATGGGCTTCACAATGTTCTCATTTGGCTTCATCAAATTTAAAGACTTACCGTTTGTTGAAGCCATTTCGAACTGGGTGTCATACCCTCAGTCTGACGAGTACCTGAACAGCCTCGGACTCAGGTCAGGCAGCTCATTCGTTAACTATTTATCTCTGATGGCCATTATTGTGCTTGTTGGTATAACTCATTTAGGAGTGGCTGTGTGAAATGGATGGGCAGAGAATTCCAAAAGCCCAAAGTGAAAACAGTTCATGAAGAAACTATTCAATTTCTTCACATTCAATATTTACATTCGAATATTCATACAGGCGTTCTCATTTACAACTCTATCAATACTTTCTGAGATATACAACCTCAACCTCAGCACAACTGTGACCAAAGTATCTTTCGGACTCTGAGTATTGTTCGGGGTGTGAACAAGCGTACTTTTTATTCTGTCATTCTACATGTACATAAAGTCTTTTCCTCAACTCGACCAAGACAAGTACTGGTGATGAGTAGAATATTTCAATGGAGTAAAACCAACAAAATACTCCAAACTGTACTCCAGCCTGTTCATGACAACTAGGCTAGTGCTATCATCACTATTGATCCTTGGGGAGGCTGCACCTTCATCAGATAAATCCACTATATTCTATCTGATAAATATTGCATATGGGTTGTACTTGATCATCATCAGGCCATTTGAGAATCCTCAAGATAGCATTATTGAAATCATCAACCAGATACTATTTTGCTGTTTAGCTGTGCCATTGTCATGGCTGAATACAGAGCATGACTGGACTCCATTCTATGAGTCCTATTATACCACAATATTCATGGTGTCTCCGGGAATATGCAGCATTATATGCATAGCGTTCTTAATAAAGTCAATTATCATTTACTTTGTAAGAAGAAAAGCAAGTAGGCAGAAGCAAAACATTCAGCCAAAGAAGCCTTCTTGAGAAAAACGAAGATCTCATGGTCAAGAAGAACCAGAAAATAGTGTTACTCCATCAATGATGAGATCCTCATCAAATATAAGTTGAAGCAATGCGTCAATGATGCCTGCTCAAAACAAGACAAGCAAGAAGACCCCAGCTCAATCAAGCATAATTAGCATGAATCTTTCTCGATAGATTGGGAAACCTGAGAGATATTAATTATAATTATTAATTATTAATATTCAAATTGGCTTCTCGACCTTGGGGTTTTGGGGTTTTGGGGTTTTGGGGTTTTGGGG